ACCAGCAACACAGTGCGGGACTGAAGCCAAATCCCTGTGTTTTGCCTTACCTGTGATATTAGTCTGTTTATATCTGAATCAAGGTAAGTGCATATACACACTAACTTTTACAAGAGATTCAGTGCTGGTAAAATTATATAAAAGATTGTTTCTAAAAATGCTTACATTTCAGAGCACAATACAGTAGACCATTTTTCAGCATGTATTATTTTCAAGCCTGCATATATGTCATAAATCTCAATTTGGTAGAATATTAACTTGCACAAGCTCAAGTGATGATGAGTTCAGTGTGTGCAGTCTGACATCATGATGAGTCAGAGAGTAACAGGACTCTGGAAATGCAGGTAGAGGCAGATGAGTCATAATCTCAAAGAACAACAGCAAAACAAAAATGCCCTGTGCCAGTTTTTCCTGGTTGTTATCTAAAAGACAAATTCACTTTTATAGATAAAAAAAAAATGTACATACACTCTTAAAAATAAAGGTTCTTTATTGGCATCAATGGATCCACAAAGAACCTTTACCATCCATGGAATCTTTTCATTCCACAAAAGGTTCTTTAGATTATTAAAATGTTCTTCACGCTAAGAGGTGAGAGGCTGAGAGGTTCTTTGGGGAACCAAAACTGGTTCTTCTATGGAACTGCTGTGAAACCCCCCTTTTGGAACCTTTATTTTTAAGAGTGTAGTGTTTTTTATGCATTGTCTATGTCCAATGCAGTGTTGAGATGCTGCAATTATTAAAGGGAGTTTTATGTTTAAAAATGTTTAATATAATGCACACTCACATGAAATGAAGACTCTATACATATGTGTAACTACCGGTAATTAAAAGCTCATTTATTTTACATGTTGCGATCACATGACCAAAAGCGATTGTTGCTGCATTAAAGTTCAAGTTTATTTGGACAAAATGATTGGTTAATTTCATATTTCTTTCTTCCTTCATTCACTGGCAAACATATGAAGGTTTTCTTAGCACTAAACCAAAATAAAGTGCACAGACTGCACACAGATGTGTCAATTATGTTTTATCCATTTTATCAAACTCGCGCTTCTCTGAGGACTTATGGGAAATGATATGTTGCAGAAGACTGTCATCTTATAAACCCCGGCGTTTTCAAACTGGGGCCCAGAGACACTCGGGGCCGCAAGGGATTAATTGAATTATAAAAATAAGAAAGAAATACAAATTCGATTCAAATAAATAAATAGATATAACAAATAATGCATCTAACTGTACAGTGCTATAATGAATAATGAATGAACTAAATGTTTTCCAAATAATAATTTTACATTTTAGGATGGGGTCTCTTGCACAAGGATGATCATATTTAGGGGTCTGTGGCTTCTAAAAGAATAAAAACCACTGTTATAAACCAGTTAAACGAATCATATGTTTTGACAGTCAATATTCTTCATTAACTATATACACATTGCATACTAAATTGTGATTTCTACATTCATAGCATGATTATTTAAAGGTGAAGCGTGTTATTTCTGCACCACATCAACAGGTTTCAAATTCTGACCTCATTCTTAAATATTTGGTTATATTCTTTGTCTTGCACTGTTATAAAAGCATTTGGCCATGTTATACAATATTTGAGTATTTTGTTCACACGACAAGAATAATAAGTTATAGCCCAGAAATTAACCATAAACCTGCACTGTAGGCTATCATTTGCAAACAGAGATAATGTTATTCAAATTTTTTTAATGATTACAAGAAGACGTTTCCCTTATATTCCTGTACTTGATGTAAACAGTTTCAGTAAAAAGGTCACGGGACAGAACCAAAGACCCGTGTCATGTGATGAAGGGGAATTTCCTGTTTGCTGATACACAACAAAGAGCACGCTGAGCACGGAGCGAGTCATGTGACTGGAGGTGCTACAAGTGGCATTTGCTTTGTGGAAAACACCCTCGTAGTTATTCAGCATATTCAGCCGGCTTATGCAACAATGAGCCAATTCTTGTTGTTTCCTCTATATATAGCTCATCCCTTGTTAAACAAACTGTCATAAGCATGACCAGTGCAGTTTCATTCGTCTAACCCATAATTATTGGCAAATTGACGTCATGTTTTTATAACCTTTGAATCACTAAATTTCTGATCTCCTTTTCTTCTATACTTGACTTTTTTTTTTCGGTATCGGCTGTGGTATTGGCCACAAACTGACCCACATAGCTGCCCGAAAGATGTCTCAATCTGATGTAATTTACTTGTTTTCTCCACATGCTTGTGCTCAGTACTGTTACTGATACTTGCACAAGACTTGCTGAGCTCAGAACCTGACTATACCGCAGATGCTTTCTTATCCAAAGTAATATACGGTACACTTACTATTGTGACAGTCAACTCCGCATTAAAAGGGATCAAAAATGAAATCCAGTCAACCTCATGTTATTCCAAACCTTTTTTCTGTGGAACATTTCTCAAATTTCCCAAAATGATTTTATGTTCCATAGAGGAAAAGAAGTCATACAGGTTTGGAATTACGTAAGGGTGAGAAAATGATGACAGAATTTACATTTTTGGGTGAACTATTTCTTTTAACTGCTTATTAGCTCAGATTCTACCACATCCCTAAAATCTAGATGACTGTGAAAGTCTTCATTTGACTGACTTTTGCTTTATAAAATAACATTTTCAATAGTGCTGTCAAATCGATTAATCGCGATTAATCACATCCAAAAATAAAAGTTTGTTTAAATAATGTGTGTGTACTGTGTATCTTTATATGTAGGCCTATATATAAATACATATATATATATATATATATATATATGTATAT